GATGAATAACTGTTGGAGAAATATAAGCCGAATCATAAATGTCACAATGTGAGTTTGAGTTTTAGGCTGCTGCTCAGTGCACTTTAAGAATATATTTTTTAGAGATAAATTAAATTGTTTTTGTTGCTGAGTAGCGCCAGTAAACATGCACAACACTTTTTTCGTTAAGCTAGTAACATTCAAAGGACCTCGAAGAGTTCAAGAAAATAACATTGCAAAAAATACTTCCTTTGGACAATTCAGTAACTCTCAATAAGTGTTTGTTGTTTAAAATACAATTTAAAAATTAACAGTTGTTTCATAAAAAACAAAAATTATTATCCACATGGCCAAAATGTAAACAAATCTGTGGAGGGATCTTTAAAGGCTTCTGGGGCAGAGCCCTAAGGGAATTTACTTCGTGTTTCTTTTGATAACTCATCTACAGACCAAGACCGTTCTTTGGACACCTCTACCAAGTTTCTACGCCCAGTCGTTCTCTTAAATTAGCGGAGGAAAAGTTTCTAATTAAATATTTAGATTCCCCCATGTTAATATTATGGGAGAAAACCCAACTTTGATGGAAAATCCAGTCCAAACTAATAAAGATTTCAAACAAATAAAAACACTTTGCAAAACTACAGATCAGGGCCATTCTTTTGACACTTTAATCATCAAAATCGGTCCAAAAATGAGGGGGGAGTTCTGTTTACAAAAATCGGCTTAGCGTATTATATATATGGATGGATGGATGGATTGTGTTGACCTGGTCCATCGAGCTTTATAATTATTCAACCTACCATTTTAAGTAAAGACTTAATTTTCGTAGAGATAAATATGAAGAGGCAGTTGTATGTAATAAGTGGGATTAAAAAGGTGTTGTAATCTAAGAAATATTCAGGTAGACTTGGTCAGACTTAACCCGCTGTTGTCAAAACATAGGTATTGTTGTAAGACGAGAGGGACGAGAGGGTGCGCTACCCTTTCCCGGCGGTCATTGCCACTGTTTCTGAGAATTAAAGGGAGGCAGTAGCAATGACCGCTGAGACGCAACCCCTCGGCTAAGAACAAGAGAAAATCTACACAAACCTTTTAGAAATATATTTTCCTGTATATGTGTGGAATCCCTATATAAATAAAACAGGCTCAAAAATAAGTACAAAAAATCTGTTAAAAAAATAATACCTCCGCTGCAGCAAGCCTGCAGTCGATTAATAAGCGAATTCCCATTTACTTGAACTGATTTTCAATTAGGCCTAAAAATGCATTTATAGCATTCAGTTTAGCGAGTAACTAAGTTTGCTGCTACAGGGAAACTAATAAAGTGTGTATTTTTAGAAAAATAATAATATCTCAGTATATAATAAATAAATTTGCCAAGTTTGATCAAAATATTTCCATAAACAAGCAACTACAACATTTTACAATATTCTTCATAAGAATAACATAGGAAATTTCAGATCATATTTTTATAAATTTTCTCTGTACAATAACTAATAATTGTACAAAAATACTTAGATATACTGAATGTTTTGTGTTTTAAGTTCTCTAAAGAGGTCTATAAGCAATTTGGGAAATTTTGTGTCTTGAGGGACAAAAATGAGAAAACCCAGATTTTTAGCGGAGCGGAGCTCTTATACGTCGACTCGTATAACAGTTAATTGTAAACAGTGATTAACAGTTAAATAACAGTCAAACAGTTAACAGTTATATATATTTTTTTAAGTAACCCGTTTTATTAGCAATATGGATTGGTTTGTTAGTTCGGGGTTTAAAAGAACAGAACGACGTGTTTTAATGCGAACAAATTTGAAGTGTTTACATGGTAAGACATACAGCTTTTTAAATAATAGTATCTTAGTCGGTATTGTGTTTTTTTATGCGATAGGCTTACTTGAGAAATATTGAATTTATAATATTAGCATTCATAAAATAATTAAGTACTATGTACCTGTTGCTCCAAATCTAGCAATTGTCAAGTACCGTTGTTATAAAGGCGTTATTTAAAACTGCAGTAACTACAGTCAAAATTTTCGATTTTGATAAGTTAAAAAAACTCAAAGTTTGTATATTTGTATTAACAAGAATACCTTTTACTTAAGTCAGGTAAATGCATCCTTTAACATTTTAAAGTCTATTCTTGAACTTCCCAAGAGTTATGTGTTCAATATGTAAGATACGTTTTTTTCAGTGCTGTTTGAAAGCTTATATTTTGGAATATCAGGTTTAATTTTTAATTGAATAATATTTTTAATCTGTTGAATTACATGGATTATAAAAATTAAATATATACATATATTTGAAAAATTAAAAATAAATATATATATTTGAATTTAATGATTGTAGTAAGCTAAAGTAAAGGAACTTAATTTTAATTTAGCATGAAACGTATTTTTTTCTGACATATCTTGTAGTTTTTTTTTTATATTTAACTAGTTCATTTTTGTGTTTGAATGCAAGAAACAAATTTCTCTCGTGGCCATAGAAGGCCTAGTGGATAATAATTATTAATTCATCCAAATACACTACGAGCTATTTCAATGTATGTTCAATTAATTGGTCAAATGTCTAACGGCGTCTTAAAAATTTAGTCTCAAATGTAACATCTGTTATGATCTGGAACTAAGTTTATATTTGGCACTAACATGAAAAATTTTAATCGCAAAAGGTCGTTTTTATTTCCTCAGGCACAATGACTGACTTCTATTTAAGCTGAGAGCATGCAATGTTGGCTTAAACTAAAATTTATGTAACAGTGTCACTGAACTTTTTATAAAATCTCCTACATTGGAAAATGTCCTAACTGCATTTAGATTGCAAATATTTTTTTTCTTCTACTTGTTGCAGTATACAGAACGAACCTAATGTTATTTGGTTCTAACTACCTATATTTTAGTATTATTTTATTAATTTGTTAGATTTTTTAGTTTTATTACCCGGGTGGAGCCTGCGTGTATCATCTAGTTAGTGAAGATTAAACATGCATAATTTATAATGTATTTTATTATTTGCTTATTATTTATTGTAACATATACAATTATTTGTTTTCAAGCATGGTAGCGCCGATAAACCAAGTGGAGAAATCCTATTATGCGTTATAAGAAAACGTAAACAGATGGAGCGGGGTGGCAGGTAGTCGGGGTGACACGTTGTCGCGAGTGTACGAGGTGACTGTTTGTCGTAAACGGCAACGACAGATCGTCACCTGGGCCTAGAGTAGGTGACGGGTAGTCGGGGTGACACGTTGACGCAAGCGTGCGAGGTGACAGGCAGTCGTCTCTACACACGACAAACAATCACCTCCAGAGAAGAGGTGACAACTAGACGGGTGACACCTAGACGGCATCGTTATATTTTTACGAGGTGACACGTTGTCGTCTGTGCCCAAAATACCGAGGTGATGGGTTGTCGGGGTGACACATAGACGGCGACCCACTAAACTATCTCTAAAACACAGACAATACAAAACATTTACTTACGTACACATGTCGACACATTAACACTCACGCTGACGAAGATTCACACACAGACATTTAAAACTGACTCGGAGCATTGTCTGGCCGAACGAAATTTTCACGACGACGGTTTTTTACGGGGTAGGACTTATAAATTCTTTGTTTTTTGAGCTAGCGTTATTTTGATTCAATTGAAAAGACCGTCACGATAATTTACGAATCAATAAGACATAGACATTCGATGCATGTACAAGTTTCCTCACGAACGCAAAATCAATCCGGCAATTTCAACTGACTCGACTTAAAACTAATAAAACCCTCCCCCAATTAGCAATTCGGCAAAATTTTGACATTTGTTGTCATTTCGACGCACGTACAATTTTCACTCAAACGCGAATTTCCGAGCTACAAATGAGATATTGATAGAATTGTCCTACAGCGGCGTCACGTGACCTTCGATGTTGACGTCACTGCTCCAAGTGAAGTTTTGGAGTGAAGTCGCACGGCCTAGTTTTGGTCTTTTGCTCTCGTATCACTCCGCCTTACGTCATGGTTGGATGGGGTTGTGCGTTGCCTTGGCGCGGATTTTAAACCCTGGGATTTAAAATCGGCACAACACAAAGCATCTCACTCCATTATAGACTCATCCAACATACATATTTGGGTTAAAATGAAGCCTGTTGCGTCCCCATCTTAGTGTGAAAATTGTAGTAATATCCCCACTGCAGACTAAGTTTAAGTTTGTCGTAGAGTTTTTCCAAATAAGTTCATGTAACAAGAAATTTTACACTTGGGATCCACATCCATCATTATATTAAATTTGTATTAGCCTAAGCAATCTCTACAAATAGATGCATTGCCCATAAGATGTTGGATAATATACTGCTTTGTGCTTTAACCTAGTATCTCAGCATCAGTAGGTGTTAGATAAAAATGTTATTATACATTTTTGCTAAAATTTGATCAGAGTTTAGATAAAAAAAGTTTAGAAAAAAAGAGTCTTTAACCAATGTTGTCCTGAACCTAAGATCCTGTGTCTTCCTTCCCTAATACAAAGTTATAAATCAATATTTAAATTAAGGCTGTTTTATCCAAGGTGAATTCAATTCAGGTCCAGGTTTTAGAGTAAAACAATTAGGGTCTTTAATTCTGGGGACCCTATTAGTCCCCAGGTGTTATTGTGGCTACTCCAAAACATTTTAAGGTAAAGGTAAAGGTACCCTAAATGCCAAATTTGATGATTCTAGGTAGTATATTTTGTGAGATTTAGTTATATATGTCAGTCAGTGGTAATTTCCTCTTTTAAGTATAGAAGATATATTTTATAAAAATAGCTAGAAGGCTGAAATTTAATAGGCTACAATAGGCTACTCAGTTTACAAATAGGAACTTTAAACAACTCTCATAATGATTTTATTAATGTGTAGTGCCCTAGGCTGTCATGATATTACTTTTAAGTAGGATCCAAGTTATTCAAAATCACCATTATTTAACGTGACGATTAACTGTTCATTATATGTAAAATTACTGTAACTTATATGTATGTTTGATACCTGACTTATACAGAAACAGTGGAGGAATCAAGTCGTTATGAGTCTGAACTAAAGGATCTGCGGAAGAGCAACGAACGTTTAGAGGCAGAGATTCTAGAGTTGCGGTCGGTTGCTCACGGTTCTCACGAGGCCCCATTGCTAGCAGCACCTGGTGCAATGATCTCTACTCTGGCGCGCAGAGTCGCCTCGCAGCTCGGTGCAGAGACTTCCCCTGCCCCTCCCCCGCCTCCTGACAACTTAGAAGAGAGCATGAGGAAGGTAAACAAATATGTAGGTACGCACTTCCATTCATTCATTTCTCATTTGGCCTTTGTTGCGGTTACTCACACAGCTCACGCATTTGGTTTGGTTTTGATTTATTTCCACTTGGTTCTGTTATAGGCTTACTTGATTAAACTTGCTTACTGTAATTCTAGTTTTGGGTTTTTACACACTGTAGTTAATATTAGTCTAAAATTTGTGGTTTTCAACTATGCTTTATTTTATTTTGTATCCTAGTTTCAGTTTGTATTGCATTGGCTATAGGTGTAGCTGATTTTCCAATTTTCTTAGGTTTCTTGATGAGATTTTGTTAGGCCTATATCACTGAATGCTTTTGATTTGATTTTATCAGCACTATTATTCAGCATTTTCCTGGTCTCTCTCTCTCTCTCTCTCTCTCTCTCTCTCTCTCTCTCCCCCCCCCCCTCTAATAATGGTGTGATGGTTTGTGTATCACACTGAGTGCGGGCCGGTCACCAAAGACTGGCTGCGAGACGGGCACCTAGGCCAGCCCAGCCAGGTCCTGCTGAAATGAATCAGTCAGTGTTGCGTAAATTGTGTGTGCGTTGCTAGCATTACATAACCTATACTGTATGTGTTTCGCCCGTCGTTCCTGCAGACCGGCGGCGGTCCTACAAGACCGGTTAATTCCCACTTGCTCAATTTATTGACTTTGGACATTAATTGACATATTTATTTTGTGTTTTTGCTTTCTATACGACACAACAATGTATTTTATTGTTTATTATTTTAGTTTATATACTGCGGGTTCATAAAGATAAACCCCTCCAACACCAAATTATTGATTGAGGGAGGAAGGGGTTGTATATAATTGTAAATATTAGTTATAGGGTAAAGTAGGGCAAATATGATACAAAAACCCAAACTTTAGTGTATAGCTCCTTTCAGGACAAACTTATAAAACATCTAAAAATATGTTCTTGTTTGGTTTAAAAAGGCTTTAACACTATATTAAGGTCAACTAGTAAACTAAAAACCTGTTCAAGAAAAAAAAAATTAAAACAGGAGTATCACATTCGTCCTTCAATAAGGGCAAATATGATACACCTGGAAGGCAAATCAGGATAGCTCACTAGATCAAACCAAGGAGGGCAATTTTGATACACACATTTGGTAATGTAACAACTGTGCAAATTTCATTAAAATCAGACCTTAAATGTGGGAGTTAAATACCAAATCAAGTAAATGCGTGTCAAAATGCATTTTTTTACAAAAAATAACCACAGTGTATGATCATAGTCCTCCAGAGTGTATCATAATTGCCCCCTGAGTTTAGAGCTTTATAAATGTGGTGAATATGAATGTATATTAATAGTTTTGATCTTAAAAGAAAGAAAATTTAATTCTTTACATTTATATTATACAGATAATAAAAAAATAATTCTCATATTTATAACAAAAGTTTTTCTTTGACGCAGAAAAGTTTTTAGGCCTAAAAAAACAATGATTCAATATTTTCTTTTACTTTTTTAACCAACCACAAATGCTCATAGTACATTATGGACCAAAAAGTACATTAAAAATGCTACTTAAATATATTTTTTAAACAACCTAGCTATGTATATATTTAGATGGTTTTAAAGGAATGTATCACAATTAATTGCCCTTCATTTTTTAGTGTGGAAACATAATTGCCCTACTTCACCCTAGTGCTATTGAAAATTTGTAGTGTAATAAACAGTTTTTGTGAGACAAAAAATTGAGTATTTTCGTCACGGTGCCCACAAACGTCATTGCGCAGGCCGCCCTGGTCACCAATGACCGGCAATTTTGGATGCCATTTTTATTGGAAAAAATTTATGTATAAAAAGATTTCAGGCCCTGGGAAAGCACCCACTGATATTTTTACCCCACTCAATGAGTTAAACATAATTTCTCCATAATAATGATTAGCCAGTTTAAATCAGTAGGTAGAGTAGTGTAGTTATTGTAAATACCAACCTGAAATAATGATTTAAAAAACTAATACTCTAATAAAAAATAGATTTTTAAAGACTTCAGTAATAACTCATCAATAACTTGAATGATCAAGCCAATAGAAGTATTTCCTCACTTGGGCATAAAGTGACTCTTTTCGATCCGAGCTCATTTGCCAAGGTCGGAAAATGAGCGAGGGTTAAAATGACACTTTTTGCGCATGTGATAAACTATATTTTTCTTTGTATTGTACTATTATTTAAGCAAATAAAGTTACAAAATGCTAATACTTTTCATGTAAAGATAATGTCTCAAAACGACTTCAAACTTGTTTTAATTTTTGCTAGTGCTAACAAGCAGCATTTTAGTAAGTGATTCAATTATTTAATCTATTACCATTATGTTAGTGAACATTATAATACCAATGTGTCAATATCTATTCAATAGCATAGATCAGTTAAAATTTGGTAAGTTTTTCTCATATCAGCCTACACAAGATTTAAAAGTAACCAAAACCATAATGGTGGTTTCAACTACTTACCAGATTTAAAAGCCATAAACGTTTCTATTAAGGCCATAATGGTTGAATTTTGTTTCATATTAGTTCAGTAAAATAAGACATTGTGGTATGCAAAAGGTCGGGTAGTTCTGATTTTTGGATATGTCGTTAGTGTTGGGCCCATAACATAAAATCCAAGTATCTAAGTATGAATAAAGCATATTTGATTTGATTTGATATCCACCTCGAGGTACCACCGGGCGCCGCGGGGCACGCCACTTGTTAACAAAATAGCAAAAATCTGACCATTCCTGTGGGTTTTCAGTTTCACTCTATCTCGCGAACAGTTGATTTTACTAAAAGTATTACTTTATATAATTAAACGAGGATAGATTTGTGACAGTTTAAGCCCAACAGCAACTATGTAGCGTAAATAACGGTCAAAATACAGACCTTCAAAATAAAAAAAATTTCCAAAGATTTATAAAAATTGTGGTTTTTTTCAATATTTCCACAATATAGTTGTTTGAAGCAAACACCGTATTGATTTAGAGAGTATGCCAATTTATTTGCCAATAATAGAAAATAAATGAAAGTATGATTAAAAATACCCCCACCTCAGCAAACCTGAATACTAAGCAAATTTCCATTTGCTTGATTTGATTTTCACAAACCTATTAAAATAACATTATTAACTGGTACCTAGGTTTGCTGCTACAGGGGGGGGGGGTAATATAGTATATCTTTTAAAAAAATAATAATAATGATAAAAAACAAATAAATTTACCCAATTTGTAAAAATGTATCTATAAATAAGGAAAAACAATGATAAAAAATCTTTGCTACCTATTAGAATAACATGGCCATTTTTAATTTGCATTTTTTAAATTTTCTCCGTAACCAATAACTGTAAAAAACATTTTTATGTACTAAATTATTTGTTTTTAAGCTCTACAAAATGTTTTAATGATACAATTGTAAAATTGTATGTTTTGAGGGTTAAAAATGAAAAAAGAAAAAAAACTATTCTTACCGACAAAATACCTATAAAGCAACCGTTCACATGGCCTAATCATGTTTTGCGAACTCGTTTTAATAAATGTAGGTTTACATGCCGAAAAACAGACCTTCAAAATATACCTTTAACAGCAAAACTACTCTTCCCAAAGCTGTCAAAAGTTCATACATAAACATTTAAGCTAAGCTTTGGGTACAATATACTTTCACATGAAAACAAAATAAAACAGTTTAACATAGTTAACAGTAGGGATGGACGGGATTGAAATTTTGGTTCGGGACGGGACGGGACGGGATTTTTTCCTGTGGATAAAAAGAGTCTTGAGTATTGCAGTTACCAAAAAAGACAAACGAAATCAATTTTTACCGTTTGTAGCACTGATCTATAAAAACAAAAAAATGGTTGGGTTACAACAATTTACAAGTACCTATAGACACTTGTGACTCGCGGTCACGGTGCGATCGTCAAAATGACCACGGTCACAGGGTGATCGTCGGTATGACTCACGGTCACGGCGTGATCGTCGGTATGACTCGCGGTCATGGCGCGATCGTCGGTATGACTCCGCGGTCACAACATGATCGTCGGTATGACTCCGCGGTCACGGGGTGATCGTCGGTATGACTCCGCGGTCACGGCATGATCGTTGGTATGACTCCGCGGTCACGGAACGATTGTCGGTATGACTCCGTGGTTACGGCACGATCGTCGGTATGACTCTGCGGTCACAGGGTGATTGTCGGTATGACTCCGCGGTCACGGGGTGATCGTCGGTATGACTCTTCGGTCACAGCACGATCATCGGTATGACTCCGCGGTCACGGCACGATTGTCGGTATGACTCCGCGGTCACGGGGTGATCGTCGGTATGACTCTGCGGTCACGGGGTGATCGTCGGCATTACTCGCGATCACGGCATAATCGTCGGTATGCATCCGCGGTCATGGCATAATCGTCGGTATGACTCCGCCGCGGTCACGGCGCGATCGTCGGTATGACTTTTGCGGTCACGGCGCGATCGTCGGTATGACTCCGTGGTCACGGCGGGATCGTCGGTATGACCCCTCAGTCACGGCGCGATCGTCGAAATGACTTCGCCTCCTTCATCGCGGAACATCTCTCGCGATAGCGGCGTTATCGTCACTCGCGAAGCGGCAAAATCGCCGACGATCGGACCAAATCCCGATTCAAAAGTTATCCCGTCCCGAATATCGGGAATATTTTTTTCCCAAAATTTCGGGAAATTTTTTTTTACTGTCTATATATGACTCGTACACAGCCATCGATGTCGGATTTATATTGGTTTTTGCGCCAAATTAGGTTGTTTTGTACGATTTTCTAGTTTCTTGACGTGATCCTTTGAGTAAAGCATATCGAATTTGGTATTTTTGTAAAGCCCTTTTAACGTGCTACAACTTTGTCTTTAAGTTATTTCTGATATATTGCATCAATAAAACGTTATCGACAAAAATAACACAAAAATGTTTAAAAATATGGGTTTTTGCAAAATTACGAAAAATGTACTAAACATACAACAAAAGTGTAAATGTAAGAAAGATAGCATGTAAACTTATCTTTCAAACAAAAAAATGTTCATTCCGATCCGATACATGGTATGTAAAATATAGCTATTTTAAAATAGCCCTTTCCGCCATTTTAATGACGTCATAGCCGGAAACTGCAGTGGGTGCAGACGTGACACCCGAGTTGAAAACACTTATTTAGACACATACATGAACATTGAATGGTAAAACTGTCTTTATAAGACTTGCGAATTGCCCTAGATGCCGGACTAATAGGCGTTTTTGCGCCAAAATTGGTGTTTTTATGAGATTTATCTAGTTTCTTGACGTAATCTTTTGAGTAAAACATATCGAATTTGGTATTTTTGTAAAGACTTTTAAACGTTCTACAACTTTTTTCATTGGTGGTTTTTGATAAATTGTATCAATAAAACGTTACAAACAAAAATAACACAAAAATATTTAAAAATACAGGTTTTTGCAAAATTACGAAGAATGTACTAAACATACAACAAATGTGTAAATTTAAAACACGTAGCATTTAAAATTATCTTTTCAAACAAAAAAAAGTTCATTCCGATCCAACAAATAGTTTGCGAAATATACGATTTAAAAAAAATCAATGGCCGCCAGTTGTGACAGTTGTTCAAAGATTCATTTAATTTACATTGTTATTATACGCTTACTCCTCAGGGGGCACAGCCCTAGGAATCGGAAGAAAATTGTTGACGTAAGCATAGGTCGATATGCACATCAAATTAAAGGTCTTTACTAGTAGATTACGATGCCGTAAATTCAAGCTCAAAAGAATGCCTGAGTAAAAAATGGCAGTCGTTCAAAGATTCAAAATGGCGGATTCAAGAAATCTTTGAACAACTGTCATTTTGCGCAGGATCAACCTTTTGAAGTGCGGTTTGCGGCATTGTATTCTACTAAAAAAGACCTTTAATTTGATGTGCATATTGACCTATACTTCCATTTAATATTTTCTTCCGACTCCTTGTGGGCCGTCCCCCTGAAGAGTTATTGGATCACTGAATATGTGTTAAAATAGAGTTTTATGCCCTGTAACGTTGTACCAAGTATTGTAGCTCTATCTGCATTATTTTTTAAAATATTTAACTGTCCAGGGACTTTTTTACCACCCTGTATATACCAGGTGTCCGAAAAAGACTTCCCAGTTTTAAAAATACCTCACGATACTATTTGTTCAAATGGATGAGTAATAATCCTTTCGTGCTGTGTAGAGTATGCTTCAAAGTTTTAGTTTCGTACGTTGGCAATTAGGTTGCGTACACCTATTTGACCTTGAGCATAGTTTTGGTAATAAATTATAATACAAATAATAAAATATTAGTGATAAAAATGAGTAAAAATAGCTTGCATGTCTGCATGGCTACAAATGTTTCGCATATTGAGGTGTGATAGTGTTAAAAAACACTTTTATTTTATTACCTTTCATTTAATGTATCAGCATAGCCACCTCTATGGTATCAGTCGTTGTAATTTGTATCTAGTACAATAAATAAATGAATTTTCAAACTAGGTGAGTTTTTTGGAGACCCTGTATTTATGTCTGTTAGCACGATAATAACTCAAGCAAAAATCATCCGATTTAATGGAATTTGGTACAAACACGTAAACGTACATTTATTTATTAAAACGAGTTCATGAAGCATGATTGGCATGATAAGGCCATGGGAACGGTTGCTTTATAGGTATTTTGTCGGTAAGAATAGTTTTTTTTAATTTTTAACCCTCAAAACATACCATTTGACAATTGTATCATTAAAACATTTTTTAGAGCTTAAAAACAAGTAATTTAGTACATAAAATTTTTTTACAGTTATTGGTTACGGAGAAAAATAAAGAAAAATGCAAACAAAAAATCCCCCATGATATTCTAATGGAGAATATTTTTAACTATTGTTTTCCCTTATTTATAGATACAATTTTATAAAACTGGGTAAATTTATTTATTTCTTATCATACTATTATTATTTTATTAAAAGATATACTATATTATCCTCCCTGTATCAGCAAACCTAGGTGCCAGTTAAACCTAATGTTATTTAAATAGGTTTGTGAAAATCAAATCAAGCAAATGGAAATTCGCTTAGTCTGCAGGTTTGCTGAGGTGGGGGTATTTTTATTCATACTTCTATCTATTTTCTATTAATAGCAAATAAACTGACATACTCTTTAAAATAATCAATATGGTGTTTGCTTCAAACAACTATATTGTGTAAATATTGAAAAAAACCACAATTTTTATACATCTTTGGAATTTATTTTTATTTTGAAGGTCTGTATTTTGACCGTTATTTACACTACATACTTGCTGTTGGGCTTAAACTGTCACAAATCTATCCTCGTTTAATTATATAAAGTAATACTTTTAGTAAAATCAGCTGTTCGCGAGATAGAGTGAAAACCCACAGGAATGGTCAGATTTTTGCTATTTCGCTAACAAGTGGCGCGCCCCGCGGCGCGCTTAGGTATCTCGAGGTGGATTACTTGGATATTATGTTATGGACCCAACACTAACAACATATCCAAAAATCAGAACTACATGACCTTTTGCACAGCAACCCCCTATTTTTTTTGACATATTTACTGGACTATAAAGGTTTGGTGGATGTGTAACTATTTTATACAACAGATGTAAAGATAAAAATGTCTCTATTTTGTACCCTCTTCCCGTTACAACAGTTATGTAAAAGAAAACCATCCTCTAAAACATTATTCAATGGTTTTTTTTTTAAGAAATAAGACATAAAAAGGTTTTTTTTTTTGACTAACTACCTTTTGTGAAATCTAAGTTTATTGTTTTAAATAATGTTTGCTTTGAACATAGAGCATTTCAATTTATTGCCCAGATCCCACACCGTCTGTTTCTGTACCTGTTAAACGTGGCCTTTATTTTAGTCTTAGTTACATGCATAGTGTCATCTAAGATAGTTGGTTCATATATGGTTATATATAGGCCTATGATTTATGTATAGGGATTATATGAGATAGTTGATTTATTTCTTGTTATTTTTAATACTTTGCTTCTTCAGGCCAAAGAAGATGCTGAAGTGCTGAGATCACTTGTGATTCCATTAGAAGAAGAAATTAACGCCCTGAAAGAGAAGCTGCGCGCCAATGATCAACTCCTCCGCAAATATCAAGCGGTAAGTTAAGTTTTATCTACATAATGTTAGTAGTTTGAATTAAACATGTATCAACTAAGTGTTTAGACCTGAAAAAAATTTTGCAGCTGAGTGAGACATGGCCATATACGCAGGAACTAGAGGTGTGTGAGCGGCTCAATTTTCGAGTTGAGTGGAGCCTGGCCTACAAGCTATAGAGATTGAGCACTAAGTCAGGAAATCGTAAATGGGTCCGCAAATTTCACGTGAATCTTTACCACATTCGTGGCAAAAATTCATGCTTTTGCCACGATTGTGGAGGTCAATGATACTGTTTCTGTGAGCGCAGAAGGCGATGATAATAACCAAACAGGGGCGGGAGATATTCAAGATTTCAAATCAAATCAAATATATTTATTTCCATTTGGCACAATACAGTACTAAAGGATAGGTCAGATTGAATTTTACAATTTGTACAAATTGGATTGAGTGAGATAGGAGGTCAGGAAGGAAAAATACTGTGCCATAACTAAGTATTTTGACATGTGCGGAGGGGAAGTGGTTTGTGTTTGACTGATATTGTATTATTAGGGGAACATCCTGGTGCATCTCATGAATCTTGCCTGAATCTCATTTTAGTTTCATAATCATGCATTTTTCCATTACAGTATGTTATGCTATGATGTATCCTGTTGTAAAGCTGTTTGGAGAATAAAATACAAGTGTAATTCATTCATTTAATTAACATCCCAAATGATCATGAGGTAATCAAGAATATTTTCCTATCCGGCATATTTCAAGACCAAGAAATGCCGGATTAGTAGATATAGATGACTTGTAGATTAGTAGATTAGTTTACTGTTGCGTACAACGGTTCTGCAGGACTAACACTAGGTGCTATTGTTGCAATAACCTCTCTGTATGAAAGCTCACCTTACACTGAGCTACTCAAGTTAGCGTGACTGTAAGGATCACCGCAGCCAAAGTGATAACTACTTGTGAACAAGAGAATTGTTTTGGCAGTGAATATTGGATATATATTGTAGTGTATTGAGATGTCTCTATTCATTTTAAGTATCACAATTTTTAAATTAATTAAAAACAACACTTGCTCACACCACATTTATATTCATCCAAACAGATAACAAGTATGAGAAGGGAGTAGGGTATAGTTTATACCCTACATGGGAAATTCGCTAACAGCATGAATAGTAATAACAATTCTTTACTTTAACAAATTACAATCTAGTTGTTGGTTTTGAGAAGATAAATGTTGTACTCCCCAGGAATTTGTAAAACTGTGATGATGTAGGTGACCACCACAACGAATACCTGTAACAGCAATTGGAAATATTCTATTGTAAGTTACCAAGAATTACACAACAATAAAAATGTGGCATGTCCTTGTTTTAACAATACAACTCAGTTTTTTAGGATTTCTTATCTTCCGACTGTGCATAGCAGTAATGGAAAAGAGTTTTTATGTTTTCAGTAACACAGCAACTGAATGTTAGATTCTCAAAAATGTCTGTGCATATTGCCGCAGTTTGTATACAGATAGTTAGTTTTAAAAAATAAATAAAAAAATATTATATAGCCTGAAAGAAAGTTATTCTATATTGTGTATCATTTTCACAATTAAACCTAACCATAATCTATGACCTTTTTATTTATAGGCTACAACAAATTTAATAGGCCTTTTATTTTTATATTTGTTAATGGGTCCAACTACAAAGGTCCAACAATCACTAACACGTTCACTGCGCTATTAGATCCCCAGATCTCATATCGTACCTAGCCCGTAGTGCGGGACCCATAATTTGGCTTCTTTCCTAAAGTTATGACATCGATATTTCAACATACAGTTATCGTATAGAAATGAAACTTGTACATATATAATGCATTTTTCTTGATGTATCAACTAGTATATATGAAATGAACGAGATAAATAGATCAAATTCAAATTTTTAAGTTTCGGTTTTGGTTTTGGTTTTTAAATTCGAAATCTGTATTTATAGTTTTGACCATCATTAGCTAGTAATAAACAATATCAAATAAAGAAAGCTCAGTATATCGACTGCAAGTGTTAAAATAAAATGTTGGTGTCATGCAGTTTGATTTAAGTAAAAATTCTACCAATCTCTAACCACCGAAAGAATGTTAATAGTTCAGAATTGAACGGATAGTTTCAATCAATAAAATAAAGTTCAACCTATGGAAGTTGTTTTTATTTCTTACTTCATAATACAGATCGCTCCACTCAACTGGCTTGCACTGCTGTGAAATCAATCCTAGTTAATGTAGTCATTAAATGGAAGTATCCATTGATTCAGATTGTAAATTGTAAAATAGTTTTATCCTTTGGAGATCAGATACTCACAGTTGCATACATTTCACGGTCAACTTTAAACAACCCCCAAGCTGTGATGGTGAATGATGATGACTCTGCCTCACATGTCAGAACTTCCATCTGAAACATAAAAAACAGTGAATGTATGCTAAAGATATGAACCTATTAATTGTATAATGTTGCTCTGAAGGGTGTTCCTTGTTCCTTGTTTTAATATGTGGAATGTAGTGTATTTGCAGGTTTAGATTAGTTTTCAGTTGTTGCAGTGACTATAATGCTGAAATGTCAGTGGTTTCTGATCTCCAATAATGTTTTGAATTTTTTGGAATTTTCAAGCGTCATTGAATTATTTGAAACCTATAATAATAATGTATGACTCTGTAATGTATGATACTGTATGTACTTATTGAGCAAAAGACAGGCCCGTTTTTGACCCTGTCAGCGCCCTAGGCACGTCTACCTAATAGTAGCGCCCCTTTGCAATATATACAGGGTGGCTGAAATGAAAAGTAACTTGCACCCCCACTTAACTTTTCAACCATTTGAGATATTTGAAATCGGTTTGCGGCAACTTTCTTAGATATGAGGGGCTACAATAATTATGGTCAATTTTGAAAATTTTGCCCTTAGGGGTAGCGGGGGTAAGAGGCAGCTCAAAATTTTCAAATGACAAGTATAGTCAAGTTTGGTATCATTTTACAGGTCTTGACGAAACATGAACATCAACATAAAGAAAACCAAAATTGGCTCACTAATAACAAAATGGCGCCCTAAAACGTTTCAAATCCAAATAACCATGAGGGTGGCAAACAAATTAACTTGCACCCTCCCTAACTTTTTAACTATTTGAGATATTTGAAATCGGTTTGCGGCAACTTGTTTGGAAATGAAGGGCTACAATAATCACGGTCAGTTTTGAAAATTTTGCCCTTAGGGGTAGCGGGGGTAGGGAGTAGCTCTCAAAATTTTCAAATAGCAAGTATAGTCGAGTTTGGTATCATTTTGTAGGTCTTGATGAAACATAACAATTAACATAAAGAAAATAGAAATCGGACCATTAATAACAAAATGGCAGCGCAAAACTACTTTGAATAACCATTGTCTCAATCATTTTTAGCTGCCATTTTGTTATTAATGGTCCGATTTCTATTTTCTTTATGTTAATTGTTATGTTTCATCAAGACCTACAAAATGATACCAAACTCGACTATACTTGCTATTTGAAAATTTTTAGCTATCCCCTACCCCCGCTACCCCTAAGGGCAAAATTTTCAAAATTGACCATAATTATTGTAGCCCGTCATATCTAAGAAGGTTGCCGCAAACCGATTTCAAATATCTCAAATGGTTGAAAAGTTAAGTGGGGGTGCAAGTTACTTTTCAGCCACCCTGTATATAACAGGGTGTATATCGACCGGGAAATCCGGGAATCATGCGGGAGATCTTTGAACCGTGAATTTTGTATTCCTACCTGGAGTTTTCAATTTACCGTGATCGCTCATGACAACAGTGACGTTTCCGTGATCGCGCATGACAACAGTGACGTTTCCGTGACCTCGGGAGACAATAATAAATGTCTACACACGGCCGCGAGGGATGATCAGAATTTTCCGCGATCGCAGAAGACGATGATGGTATCTACTATCTACAGATGAGCCGCAACGGATGATCAGGATATTACCACAATCACGGAAGACGATTGATGTCCACACGACCGCGGGAAACCTCAAGAACTTTGCCGCGATCGTGGAAGACGATGATGATCTCCACAAAACTGCAGGACATGATTAAAATTTTGCCGCAATCGCTGGAGACGATTACCATGGATTCATGACTGCGGGATACGTACGATATCTACAGGACCGCGGGAGATATAATAACTATTTCTACACGGCCACGAGGGATGATCAGAATATTGCCGCGATCACGGAAGACGATGATAATGTCCTCACGACCGCGGGAAAATATCAGAATTTTGCCTCATTTGCGGTAGATGATAATAATCTCCTCACGACTGCGGGATACGTTCTTATATTGCCTCGATCATGGAAGATGATAATTTTATGTCCAAACGACCTGACTGCAGAAAATAGTAAGAATCTTGCTGCAAACGCGGGAGACGATTACGATGCCTACACGGCCGCGAGTGGTTATCAGAAGTTTACCGCGATATCATGCAAATACCACCACGAATTTTTTTTAATTTCCAAATTTTTGGCGCCCCCCAAAAAGGCCAATTGCCTCGCGCCCTAGGCATGTGCCTACCGTGCCTATTCGGTAAATCGGCCCTGGCAAAAGACCAGCACAAACCTTTGGGTCTAACAATAGATCAGAATTTGAACTGGAGTGAGCATATAAATAAAATAGTTTCAAAAATCAAATCTGGAATTTTTGCCCTTTCAAAAATGTCTCTGTACTGTGATGTCAAAACATTGAAAAACATTTACTTTGCATATATTCATTCACATATATTTTTCCTTTGGTATCTGTCTATTTGGAGCAACAACTAAAATCAATCTAGGTAAAATATTAAAACATAAAAAAGAGCAGTGAGAGTAATGCTCAGACTGAATCTGACTTCTCGGCGAAAGAGCACTTTACATAACTAAACATACCAAACTAACATACTAAACATACTATCTGTTTAAGGGCAATATATTTTTGATTCAATTTTAATTTTTTTAAATAAAAT